TCCTGACAGCCGCTCCCCCTTTTGCAGGGGGAGAAATCCGTGTCGGTCGACGGGAAGTGCAGTGACTCGACGCTGCTGAGCAACTTGCTGGAGGAGATGAAAGTTACGCTGGCCGAGTGCTGAGCGCGGCCCGCAGCCCCGCTGCCCACCGCTCGGATGGCGAGGTGACGTGCTGCACTGATCTGTCTGGTCGGCCTTTTTACTTTGACTCTTCCCCACTCTCTTCGGCGAGAAGGCCCGAGGCCGCCCCCAGCTGGCCGGCCGCCCGCGGAGCAGGCTGAGAGCGCCCCCCCCCCCCCCCCCCGGGTTCAGCCAGGCCGTCCGAGTTCCCCACGGCCCCCAGACACCTGCTGGGGGCGCCACTCGCACAGAGATGCTCCTCTCCTCCCTTGAGGCTGTGGGCCAGGACACCCGGTGGCCCCAGGGCCGTGCAGGCTGCTGTCATGTTTCCCAAGTCCCACCCACGTGTCCATGGGGGGCGGGGGTACTGCCCCTCAGGTGGGGTTCTGGTCGGGATCCCTGATGGAGTGGGGCCTGGACCCTGTTGGTTTACATTTCTTTCCTGTCCAGTGAAATGTGTCTTGGTTGGTGTCGTTTGGCGAGTGGTGGGGACTGGGGTTCCAGGTCCCTCCTGTCGCCAAACGCTCCTCAGGCTTTGTCCCACACCGCGCCTGCAGCTGCCGGGAAGGCCCGGTCCCGGGGTGGCCCCCTGGAATGCAACTCACGGGGCGGGCGGGACAAGGGGACCCCGGACCAGCCCTGTGAGCTGCCCTTCCTCGGAGATGATGGTCCTCCACGACGTAACTTCCTTTTGACGAACACTGTCACTTTAGCATGTAGGGTAATCTATTACAGAATCCTGTGCAGTGATTCCAGAACCTCAGAATTGTATGACGTGTTATATAAGAATTGATTTGCTATCGACATTCCCAGATACAGGAGAGAGAGACATATCACGCTGCTGTAATGATTTTGTGTCAAGATGATCCAATAAACTTGTAACACAGACACGGACGTTTCTCTGCAGCACCTCCTGCCCGGGCCATGCGGTGTGCACTCCCGGTAACAGGACTCTGGACGGTCCTTGGGCTGCCGGGGGCACCCTTCCCTTCATGATGGAGGTGAGGTCATCCCTGCGCACCGTCCAGGCCCCAGCAGGGAGCCCTGACCCCACCCACGGGGCTTTCCCAGGGAACCCCACTAGTAACAGGCGTGTGAGGGCAGGAGAGCAGACGCCAGAAGTTAGGCCCTGCCACATTTCCGCTGCCTTTGCTGACGCCATGTGGCCAAGGGACAGTTCAGGACCGGTAAGGCTGGGGCAGCAGAGGGAAAGCCAGATCCACTCCGTCCGCTTGAGTCCCAGGCCGGAGAGAGTAGAGCCCGGCACAGATGTGCCCCATGCGGACTCCCGTGCAGGGGACCCCCCCGCCTTCCACCAGCGTCTCTTCCTGATAATCACCCGTCCGAGAGCGCCAGCCACAGGCCAGTAGTCCCTATTCTCAATGGGAAGCAGCAGCGTGTCCCCTATCTGTGCCAGACCCCTTGTGGGTGCCTCTCCTCCCTCATGGGGCCTGGGAAAAGCCAGCGCTTGGGTGGCAGATGCCACATCGACGCGTTGAGGGCCGTGCTGGCCCCGCCACCAAGCAGGGTCCTGGTTGGTTACTGCCTAGCCCCGCTCCCAACACCCATGCCCTCCAACAGGCTCCTGGCCAGTAAGGCCACCGTTCTGCTCGGCCCGCCTCAGCGGGCTCCCCGCCAGGCCTGCCCTGCGGAGCCTTCTGACTCCGATGTGCCCGCCCTCCTGGCGGACTAGGCCCCGAGTCCCCTCCCGCTCTGCCAGGCGTATCGGGCCACTTAGCGGGCCTCTCGTAACTCATGTGGAGTGTTTGCAGAAGGAAAGGACGTGTTGGGGATGCTTCCTGTGCTCCTCCGGCTGAGGGGTGCCTTGCCTGGGGACCCAGCCCCCGTGCCCCGACACGCATGCTCTGTGATGAGAAACGTCAGGGACATTTAATCATTGCATCTGACAGGCCTGCGGCCCCGCCCGGCAGTGATGCAATCTATATACAAAGCCACGTCCCCCTCCCCTGGCCGCAGCCCGGGCTGATGGCAGTGCAGGGACTCGAGGCAGCAGCGAGCCTACTCTGTGGGGTCAGGCTGAGTCCAGCTGAGTCCTGGCTCCACCTCGAGGCCAGGGCCAGTCTGGGAGCGCGGTGGCCATCAGTGCTGCGTCAGGCACTCGGAAGCATCTTCCAGAGTCAAGTTGGCCAGGTGTGGGGGCTCAAGACACGTGAAGGTTGGTGATATCAGACTGTTGGGGAGACACGGGTGCCCTCAGCCCTTCTCTCCCCACTCCGCCTCTCCCTGCCTCAGAGTCTCTGCTGCAGGCCTGGGGCATGACAGGGCTGCAGACTAGGCTCTCACGTTCAACACGGAGGCCTTGTGGCCTGTGCCCACCCCCTAGACAGCACTGGGGTCGCGCCCAGCTCTGCAACGGGCTGCAGAGGGGGTGGGAGGCTGTTGCTAATGGGCCATTGGGTTTTGATCTCTGGCTACGGGGTCCACCCAGGTCCTCACAGCCTCTTTCCCCTGGGCCACTCACAAGGCTGGCGTGGTTCTGTGCATCCAGGAGAGGGGGAGGAAGAGCCGATGTTTATTCGCGAAGTGCTGACTTGGGTGTGGTTGCGGAGGTGACATCTGGCTTGTCCCAGGTGCCGAGTGCCCTGCCGGCTGTGTCTCCCGATCCAGCCCCTGCCCGTCCGCCCCTGACTTGGGAGGCCCCAGGCCACCCCTTTCCTGACTCCCTCACGCTCCCTGACAGAAGCCCAGGCCAGAGTTTTGGAGAGGACAGACAGGGGCGGGGGCCTTACCTTGTATTGGTGCCCTCTCTGAAAGACACGACAGGGTCCCAGTGAGACCCAAGTTTTAGGGCCCGGGCTGTGCCTGTGGCCCCCAGGTCCCTCCACTGGGCACATCCATCACGAGGGGGAGCCCGTCCCAGCTCTGCCCACAACCCTGCCAGCTGCTTGGGGCAGGAGTGGGACAGACTCTATGGAAACCTTTCACCTGGATGTTCTGCGCACGCACACACACGCACACGCACGCACACACACGCGCACGCACACACGCGCACACCCCACCCCACCCCCCGCCGCCCGGTGCCTACTGAGCACGGAGCTGGAGGAAGGGCGTGGGCTGGGGTCCGAGCACTGCAGCAGGCGCCCCCTCCTGTGGCCGCCCTCCGCGTACTCACCCGCGCGGGCTTACGAGCACACCACCTCGGATCAAAGTCACGCTGGGTTTGGGGACAGGGGACTTACTTGTGCCACTTATTTCTACAACAACAGCAGGGTTGGAATCAGGGGGTGTCAGTGTCTGAGGGGAAGGCCCCTCCCCGAGCCCAGCGGCCCTGACTCACATGTACAGGAGGAGGCCCTGCACAGCTCGTTCCCACTGTGCCGATGACCTGTGGGCACACAAGGTGTGGAGACGGGCGCCCCAAATCCAGAACTCGGGGCCTGCCAAGGGGCTACCACCCTGCCCTACCCTGGTGGAGACAGGCCAGGGAGGGGTGGGAAGGGTCCCAGGAGGGCCTCAGACCCATGGGTCACCACCCGAGCCTGAGCCCTACTCGCAGTTGTAGCCGAAGCAGACGACGTGCGAGTCCGTGCAGTTGTTACAGGAGATGGTCTTGTACTGGAAGATGCCTGCAACACAGGAGAGGCGGCCGCGGGCTTCCCCGGCCTCGGCCTCCAGGGCCGCCGCCGCCGCCGTGCCCCACAGTCTGGGCAGAGGCTCACTCACCACAGTGACGCTGACAGTCAATGCGGCCTGTGTGGGGACAAGGGCACTGACCGCACCTATCCCCTGCGCCGACCCACCCTTCTTGCCCTGCCCAAGGCTCACCTAGGGTTAAGCTGGCTCTCAGCCTGGGAGGAGGGTAGCAGCCCTACTCACTCGCACCTCCAGGGACTGGCTCGGGGAGGGGTGCCCACGGGATGGAAGGCTCTTGCCTCAGGGAGCTGCCCCTCTCCCCTCTGTCTGTTGGGAGCTGGGTGCGCTGTGCCAGACACCCGTCATGTCACGCCCGCGTCTGCCACCCTCCGGCCGGGGCTGCAGCTTCGGAGGGACTTCTGAAATACCCCCGCGGCGCTCCCCGCGCCCTTCCTTTGCTCACTTTGGATGATGGCATTCTGGATGAGGTGCACCTGCTCCCGGAAGATGGCTCGCAGCTCGTTAGGGAAGTACCCTGACGGGAGCAGGCAGGAGGGAGGTCAGGCTCCCCGGCGCTGGGCTGAGGGGTGCTGTCGGCGTCCCGCGCGCACGCCGCGGCCGCCCCCTTACCAGGGAAATACATCTTCCCCAGGTACAGCTGATCCATCTTCCGGTACACGGCGTTCGCCACGTGGTCCAGCTTATCCCGGGCTGGAGGCGGGAGCGGGAGGCCGGTGAGCGGCGCGGGCCGGGGTCCGGCCGGGCAGGGGGCGCGCCCTGGCGGGGCCCCGCACTCACTGATCTCCGCGGGGATGGCCAGGTGCAGCTCCTTCATCGTGTCCTGGCTCCAGTCGCTGAGCAGCGAGCCCGACACGGGGATGTCGCCCACCCACCAGGACTTGAGGTTCACGTGATGGCGGTAGAAGGAGAACTTCTCCGAGAAGTTTCCGTGGCAGTGCAGGCAGCCGCGGGCCAGCGCCGCCGTCAGGCCGAGGCACAGCAGCAGGGCCATGGCCCGCCCCGCCCGCCGCCCGCCAACCAACCAACGGCGCCTCCCGCGCCACGCCCCCGGCGCAGGCCCCGCCCGCGCAACGGACAACCGGCCGCGCCGGCCCCGCCCCCGGGCCGCGCCCCACGCCCGCGCGCACGGCCCGTGCGTGCTCCTCCTTCCGGCCCGGCTCTGTCTCGAGGACCCGCTCCGCGCTCCCGGCTCTGCGCCAGCTCCGCCCGTGGGCCTTGAGCCGCTGACCCCGGCCAATGGCGTCACGGCCCGTTTCCGGTTGCCAGGCAACAAGGCGCGCGGCGGCGGGGGCTCCCCACCTTTCGCTCTAGACCTCGCCCCCTACGGCTCCGCTTCCGGGGAGGCCTAGGGCGGTAGCGGAAGTGGGCCTGGCCGGGCGGGGCGGCGGGGGCGGGCCGCGAGCGCCGTTCCTCCCGAGCGGCGGAGGGGCCTGGGCGGAAGACGCTGGGCGCGAGGCCGGAGCGAGCGCCTCCCGGCCGGCGGGGCGTGAGGCCGCAGGTGGGTCCTCCGAAGGGCGGACGCGGGCGGCGGGGAGGCCGGGTCCCTGGGGAGCGGCGAACGCGGGCGGCGGGGAAGCGGGTCTCGCTAGCGGCGGGTGGCAGAGATGATGGGCGTGAACTTTTGCACATTGCACACCCCGCGAGTCCACCTGCACTTTCTGGATGTGAACTTGATTCTGGACACGTGCTCCCCCCCCCCCCCCCCCCCCCCCCCCCCCCCCCCCCTCCCAACTCCGGGCTCAGCGGGGAGTGGTAACAAAGGTCCCAGGCCTGGCCAAGGACCGGGCACTTCAGTCTCCCCTAAGTCCTGAGCCCCATGCTTCCGAGTTGGTACGCTCAGGACTGCTTGCGTCCCTTTGTGTTTGGGGTCGCCTGGCGGGGTCTGTAATCTACAGATTAGGAGTGGGGTGCAGCAAGTGGAAGTGCCCGCCGCCCCCGCCCCCATCCAGGGCGCCCTGCTCGTCCCCTCCCTGCTGGAGGCACTCAGCAGCCCTGCATCGCTCCCGCCTCCCCACACGTGGCTTCCCCTTTCATTCGCCCCTCCAGAGCCCGGCCCCGGTGCCACAGCTGCGGGCCTGTGGCCGTGTGTGGCCGGCGGGCCAAGTATGTTTAGCAACAAAAAAGGCAAAATGCGTCTGCGGTATTTTTTACGTCCGTTAGGAGTTGATGTGGTATTTGGTGTTTGGGGGCTAAATACCATACGGTGTTAATAGCGACTTCACTGGTTTCCTTTCACTTTTTTGCTTTTCAATGAGGCTCCTGGAAAATGTGAAAGTCTGCCTGTGGCACATGTCCCATTTCTGGTGTTTTCTCTGACGTTCTGTCCGCAGGTGTGTATCCAGCTCCTGTTTTACAGGAGCGTCTTCTGTGGCTTTAGGTATTTCCTAAATAGGGTACGTGCTTGAGGATTTAACCAAATGGTTGGTGGATCATGATTGAATCAGGTTTAGTCATTATTTTCAGTCAAGTTGACTTTTTTAGAGCAGCTTTAAGCTCACAGCAGAACTGAGTGGAAGGTGCGGGAAATTCCCACAGACCCCCTTTCCCCAGAAACGCACCGCCACCCGTTACCAACATCCCCACGCAGCACTGACCGTTACCAACCACGCTCCACAGCGGCCACGAGGTCCCTCCCTGTGCGGCGCACCCTGTGGGTCTGACCGATGTCACTGACACCCGCCCACCACCCAGCACCACGGTGCGTCCAGAGCAGCCCCACTGCCCTGAGATTCCAGAGCTCCGCCCATTCACCCTCCCCCACCCGACAGCCACGCCTCCGTGGTCCCACTTTTCCAGAATGTCCTGGAGTTAGAACCACACACCATGTCACCTCCTCAGCCTGGCTTCTGTCACAGAGTGCTGTCTATCTGAGGCTCCTCCGTGTCTCTGGGCGGCCTAACGGCTTTTAACTTGAACCTTTGTAAAGGGGAGATGCTGTTATCATCTTTACTCCTCACATTGCTGAGCGCCGTGTTTGAGTCCCAGGCGCCCCAAGTAACCAGACGGGTAGAGTTCTAGACTTACCTCCCTCCTGTCCCTCTCCCTGTCTCTCCCTTTCCCTGTCTCTCCCTCTGTCTCAGCAGAAGCAAAAGTGTTTATCTTAGTCTCTCAGGGGGCATCTCAGAAATGCCAATCCAGTTCCTGAATCTTACTTTTCTGAGCAGTTTTAAGTCCCTTTGTTTCGTACGTACAAATGCCCCAAAGCCAAGACAGCTCAGTGAGAAGTCAGCCGTTAATCACGTTTCCGGGAGCTCTTCTCCCTTATCCAGCACGTCATCAAATGGGGGGTTAGCAGAAATTCCCCAGGCAGCCGGCTCAGAACTTGGGCTTTTCCTCTGGGAAATTTTAGACATGCCCCAGCCGGAGGGCCGTTCCTGGTTTCCTAGAATTTCGAGGTTCAGATTGCGTAAGCAAAAAAGGGAAATCCAACGTCAGAGACGAGATTCTGGGAAGGAGACAGGCGCCTCTGTGTCTCCTGGGTTCAAAAGAAGACATCTGTGACCAGTCACTCTGTGGGGGCACGCTGGGCACCGTGGGGGCTGAGTGCCATTCCAGGCCCCGCGCGCTCGAGGCCAGAAACACCCCGGTCATCAGGACCACAGAGCTCCAGACATGGCCCACTGTCCCTGGAGACAGAGGGGCCCCGGGTGCAACCTGGCGGAACTGGGAGCTGGGCACGGCTCCCTGGAGAGCGCGCCATCTGGGAGGGACGAGCCGTGTCCCCTTCAGTCCAGGGTCTTTTCGGAGTCAAGTCCACGCCCTGAGCACCCTGACACTGAAAGGAGGCTTGGTCAGCCAGCGGGCGGGGCCTGTCTGTTGGGATGGACGGCGCCTTGCCCTTTCTGACCTACGGGCCTCCGCTCCCTGAAACGGGCCCCTTAAAACCGCAGGCCGAGCCCTAGAAGGAAGAGGCGTGGCTCCTGAGCAGACACAGCCGCCCTGGTCTCTGTCACACTGTGCTTTCTGTCCCCAGGTGACACGGTTTTGTCACAGTGCTTGCGCATCTGACCCTGTGGTGGGGGGGGCGCCAAGTCCACACTGGTCAGAGTGCCCCTGGCACCCCCTTGGAGCCTAGGCCGTGGGCGCCGGAGACCTGGGCTCGGGTCCCTGGCCCGCCTCCTGTGTGCCTCTCAGAGCTCCACGGAGGGCCCTTCCTGCCTCTGGCAGCCCCTGGGGGTCACAGCCCATTCCAGGCGTCCCTCAGCCTGACGCGTCCATGGTCACTTGGCCAACTTCTCCGTGTATTTGTCCAGGTCCCCCTGTTCTCACAGAGGCGCGTGTCAGTGGATTTCGGGCCACTACCTGGCGTGGCTTCATCTTTACATCTGTGAAGACCCCCTTTCCCAGCAAGGTCCCGCCTCCAGGTGCCTGTCGTTAGCACTCGAACATCTGTCTGGGGGGACGCGCTTCCGCCCATAACAGAGGGATGGGATGTGGCTGCTTATGAGGTGGCGAGAATGTTCTAGAATTACTGGGGACGGTTGTACTGCTCTATGATTTTACTGAAACCCATTGAATTGTGCACTCTAAGTTACTCGTGAATTATGTTATAATTGATTAAAAAACAGAAGGATTATCCGGGCGGGAGCATCCAGAGCCCCTTATAGCACCCGGCCTGGAGTGGTGTCTGCACTTCCTGCCTCCCTACAATACAAATTGCAGAACTTCGCCCCGAAAACAAAGACATGAGGGCCGAGTGCCAGCAGAGCCGCACACCTGGGGCCGGGGCAGGGCAGGACGGAGGCGGCCTTCCCGCTCAGGGAGCGCTGGTGACACTGAGAAGACAGCTCTGGGGTGCAGCCGCCGTTGACAGGAGCGATCCTGGACTTCCAGCACCTTCCAGCCAAACCCCCAGCTGCCGGGCCAGGAGCCGGGGTTTGCTGATCTGGAACATACAGGACCGACCTCTGGGCTTGGGGCCCGTCTGTGTGGAGCCCCAGCTCCAGGGCAGGGTCCCCTTAGCGGTGCCTCTCGGCGGCCAGGACAGGGTGTGGGGGTGCCGGAAGGAAGTGGCAGCCGCAGCTCCGGGCCTTCTGGGGGGGGCGGGGGGAGTGTGAGGCGGTTGCTCAGAGGGACTGTGTTTTGTTTGGTTTTCAGAAAAAAAGGAGGGGTGAGGAGGGTGTGGGTCAGGGTGGGGGAGTTTGTCAGCCTATCTTCATAAGTCTAGAAGTTTCTAAGCACCACTACATCTCGTCTGTAGGAAGCACCAGGACAGCCCGCGGAGCCCTTAGCACTGAATCCCCTGCCCCACCCTCCCCTGCACCGCCTGCGGAGCTGTTCCGGGAAGAGCCGGTAATGGGACCAGGGACCAGGGTTGGGGGGGCTTCCTGGGCTCCTGTGGTCACTCAGGGCAAAGGCACGTTCTGGGGGCTGGCACCCCTCGGCCAGGCAGAGGGGGGGGCGCATGTGTCTCTCATAGAAAGCTGTGTGCTGTTGAGGGGGATTCTACCATCAAGGAAGTTTTTTAGGAAATGACTGCTTCCACTTACAAATCCTCCCACTTCCCGAGAAGAGACGGAAAGCAGGCAGGAGCCTTGTCAGCCCCCCAGCGCCCTGTGGTGCCCTGGAGGCCGCGTCCCCGTTTCCCACGGCCTGCTTCTGTCCTGTCTCCAGCCCCCAGCCATCCCCCGGAGGCCCCAGCAGGGCGCTGGCTGGCTGGGTCTCTCTGGCCCCGGGGTTGCCGCCCGGGAGCAGCTCAGCCGTGGGTGAGGAAGGAGCCAGGGACTCAGGCGACACCAGGAGGGGCGGACGGGGAAGTAACTCACCCCCACTCTGTCTTGTTGAGCGGAAGGCAGTTTGCAGGTTGCAGACAGACCACGAACAGGGAAGCATCTAAGCCGCACCGTCAGGAGGAGCAGAAGGTGGCTCGCTTCTCCAGCTGGCCGGCCGGGGATTTCTGTCCCTTGACCCGCACCCAGAGTGGCCCGGGAGCGGCCAGGTTTGCAAAGTGACCCCACCCCCACCCCCCCCGCCAGCAGGCACGCAGGCTGCTTGGGCATTACCCGCGTAGGTGGGGAGCGGTCCACGCAGGCGGGTCCAGCACACACCCACATAGGGGCACGTGGCCAGCCTGGCAGGGGGCGGGCCGGCTGGGGCCTGTGGCTGCACCCTGTTCCCACCAGCCAGGCCCACCCACCAGGAAGGTCAGCTGCCCCGGCCACACCGGTTCTGTGCGAGCTTCACAGGGCTGCAGCGGGGGACCGGGACGGCCCGGAGGGTGGCTGGGACTGGCTCTGGGTGAGATTGGGGGGAGCCCGAATAACGGAGAGGGGGCTCGCTGGGGCTGACGTGGCCGGGTAGCAAGGGTGGTGGCTTCACCCGCGGCCCAGGGTTCGAGCTCTGGCTTCTCCCAGCTGCCAGAACGGAAACTCCAGCTTAACTAGTCATTAACCAAGTAACCGAGTCATGGGCTTCTAATCCGGGGTCTCACCCGTGGTGACTCGGCCCCCAGGGACCCCGGGTGGTGTCTGGAGACACCTGTGATTGTCACGACTCGGGGGGCAGGGATGCCACCCCCGCAGTGCGGGGGGAGACCTGGTGTAGGGGGAGACCTGGTAGACCGTGTCGGTGCCGTGCTGCCTGTGGGCGACCGTAAAGCCGAGTCCACCGAGGTGGCGGCCAGAGCCCGGGGCCAGCTCTGGGGGAAGGAGTGGCCACACTTCTCTCCATTGATGCGCCGTGTCCTTGTCAGAGCGCGGCCGCCTCCAGCCGCCTGCCGGGGTCCTCACGGCACCTCTCTCTGACCAGTCCCTGCACCGTCTACTCTCTGTGCCTCTAGCGGCTCCAGGCCCCCGTGAACAGGGGTCACAAGCCACACCGGCCTCCCGCGAGCCCAGAGAGAGACTTCAGTTGTTTAGGGCCCAGGAGAGGGGTCTTCTCTGCCTCCCCACCATTTCAGTAACAGCTTTCCCGGATAAAATCCGCGTGCCTTACGCCCCGCTCATCGACAGTGCCCAGCCCTGTGTCTTCAGTTCACAGGGTTGTGCAGTGACGTCCTCTGGTTCCAGAACATTCGATCACCCCAGAGGAAACCAGTTCCCATCAACCATCACCCCCCCACCTCTCCCCCCGCCCCCACGAGCCCCTTCCTGTCCGTGGATGGGCCTGTTCTGGACGCGTCACGCACGCGGACTCACACCCCTTGTGGCCTCTCGTGTCTGGTTCCCTCCCTGAGCGTCGTGTGTTCGGGGTCCGTCCGCGGGGCGGCGGGTGTGGGCGCCTCACTCCTGCTCACGGCCGAGGGCCGTGCGCGTGCGCGGTGGACTCGTTTATCTGTGGGCAAGCGCGGTGTGTGCACTTGCTCATGTGGTCACCTGTTGATGGACGTTTGGGTTGTTTTCACCCTTTGGTGACTATGAATTGTGCTGCCGCGAATACACATGTATGTTTCGTGTGCGCGGGTGTCGTCGCCTCTCTTGCGTGTGGACCTGGGAGCATCACTAGGCCACGTGGTAACCGCGTCACTGCTGCGCTGTGTCCGCGGCGTTGCCCCTTGTTACCTGGGCACCGGCCGAGCCCGAGGGTTCTGGCCTGCACGTCCTCACTGGCGCTGGTGACGGGCTTTGTGGCGACGGCTGTTCTCGGGGAGCGCTGGTTTCTGCGTGTCCCCCCCCCCCGCCCTCGGTCGGCTCTTCCACCCCTGATGCTCACCTTCTGTGCTTTGCACGGTTCCTGCTGCCTTGAGCGGATTTTCCGACCCCCGCGCTGCTCAGGGGGGCCCAGTAGGGTGGTCGGGCTTCACCTGTCCGCGCAGAGCAGGGGTGGGGCCTCGCCAGCCAGCGAACCCGCCCACAGGAAGGGCCCCGGCCCACGGGTGGCCAGGCCCGGCTGACGCAGTGACGTCACCGGCGAGTCGCTGAGCCCAGGCTCATCGGGACGCTCGGCCGGGCCTGTCACTGGTGGCTCCTGCGTTTCCTGGGGCCACAGCAGCAAGTGACTGCAGATCCCGTGGCTCAAAGCAACACCTCTCTGTCCCCTCGTGGTTCTGGAGGTCCCGAGTTCCAGGTGGAGTGGGCAGGCCTGGGCTCAGAAGTCCTGACACCGGGCGTGGGCGGGGCCGGCCGGTTCCCCCGGGGCTCCCAGGGGCACCCCCGCCTCAGGGGCCTTGACAAGGTCCTGTCTGCCACGTGACAGGTTCCGGGTCAGAACCAGGGTGCGGAGGTTTTTGGAGGCCGTGATCGTGGCCACCACGTCCTTCCCCCGCTCACCAGGGCAGGGAGCCTGCTTCACGCTCTCCCACATCGGGTGCCGCCCGAGCCCCGTGGGCAGGCCCTGGGGACACACGAAGACAAGGCTGATGCTGGCCAGAGTGGGCGCCGTGGGCAGGCAGGTCGCTCTGTCTCTGCTGCTGCCTCCCATTTGGCCCCTGTGACCCCAGAAGGACCAGCTCTCGAAGCTGTGCTTGGGTGCCAGCGCCCTTCGGCTCCAGGCAGTCCCTCTTCAAATTCTCGTGGCCAAGTCCACGCTGCTCGAACGGCTCAGCCAGGGCTCCGCGGCACGGCGGCAGCGGGCACAGCCGGCCCGGTTCTGGCGAGGCAGGTGTGCAGGCTGCACGCGGCCCCAGAAATGCAATCGCCGGCTCTAGGGGCGCCTTCTCAGAGCCCAGGGGCCCGGGAGTCCCCTTCCTTCCGCGTCCCGGCAACAGAGGGCCACAGGACGTGGTGGAGCCGTGGCTGAGCCCTGGAGCCCAGGTGCCCCCATTGCCAGCCTCTCGTCTGGGCCACCCTGCCTGCATCTCGGGCCGCTGTGTGCACTCACCCGGGCTCTCCAACATCTGGGGACCCCTGCACCCCGACAGGTAGCACCTGTGATGCAAGTTCCCTGCCGGGCCGCCTTGCAGCCTGGTGGGGGGGGAGTGGGGTTCCTGCAGAAGGGGGAGTGATGAGGGAAGCAGAGGTCAGAGCTGTGCGGCGCCCCTGGAGGTCGGGAAAGGCAGGAGCTCCCAGGAGGGCCGTTTCAGACCTGGAGCCTCTAGAACTTTCTGAGATCACGGTTGGGCTGTCAGGAGCCTTAAGTCTGTGGTACTTTGCTACAGCCACGTGCTGGGCCTCCAGGGGCAGCTGCTAGACAGCAAATCGGACAGAGTCAGGAAGGAGCCGCCACAGTGCCAGTAAAGGAGACGCCGGTGGGCGTTCACAGCCGAGTTGTGCATGGTTACTTGCTGTAGGCGGCGCCGGGTAAGAGGAAGCAGATGAGTGGGTAGGGGCGCCACGGGACAGTGCCTGGCACTTCCCCGGCTCCCCCACCCCCTCTCCCTGCACTTCCCCTTCTGTACCTTCTGCCTGGTGAACTCCCAAGGCGCCTGCCCTGCCCGCCCCTCTGGCGCCCAGCCTCCCCCATCCCAGCCCGGCCTGTGCTCCAGGGACAGTGTGGGGTGACGGGCAGCGCCAGGCACAGCGTGGTGACTCTGTTCCAAGTGTGCCCTGGCCTCACAATGCCTGACTGCGCCCTCTCCTGCTCCCTGACACGGGGCTTGTACTGTCCCAGGTAACAGAGGACACGGAGCAGAGCGAGGCAGGGGAGGAGCACGGGGGAGACAGGGCTCTCACCGCCCTGGCCTTGGCCTCGTCCCCAGACACCAATGGGCATCCATCCTGGTCCCAGCTTGGACAGACAGGACCCAGACGGGCTCATCCAGGCCTCTTAGCTGCGCCCTGCGGTGGAGTGCGTCCCCCAGAACTCCTGTCTGCCCGTTGGGAACGTGGTTTCTGCACGTGTCCTCAGGGTAGTGAGGTCCGTTCCCGGCTCTCTCACGGCCCTGGCGGTGCCGGCCATCCTCGGCGCGCCCCTTGGCCTTCGTCCTCATGGGGCCTTCTCCCCATGTGTCTGCATCCCCTTCTGTGAGGACAGCGGTCATCGGACTAGGGACACCTCGATAATCCAGGCGGAGTGTGTTCCGAGATACTTAACTGCCTCCGCAAAGCTCCTTTTTCCAAATAAAGTCCCGTCTGCAGGTCCCAGGGATGGAGACCTCCCTTCCCGGAGGCCACCACTGGCCGGCTGCGGGCGCCCTGGGGCGCTCTGCAGATTCGCACACGCCCCCTCCTGCCGTAGGACGGGGACTCCGCCAGCTCTGGCTCCTCAGGGGCTTTGCCTCAGTGCCTTCTGCCGACGGGGTGGACCGTTTTGTCCACTGGCGCCCTCTCGGCGAGACTGAAAACCACGAGTCCTGGGGACCTCCCCATCTGGCCCCGTGCTTCCTTCCAGAAGAGAGTTCCAGAAACAGGTAACCCTCCTCCTCTTTCTGTATTCCAGGTCTCCAGGGAGGCCGGGGACACTGAGTCTCCCATCCCCTCGGCTGGCGGCTGACAGCGGCGTCCTGCCCGGGGCCCCTCTGCAGAGGCAGCGCCAGGGAGCGTGCGGACCAGGCGGGGGGCCGCCATGTCCAACCCCTTCCTGAAGCAAGTGTTCAACAAGGACAAGACCTTCCGCCCCAAGCGCAAGTTCCAGCCGGGCACCCAGCGGTTCGAGCTGCACAAGAAGGCGCAGGCGTCGCTGAACGCGGGGCTGGACCTGAAGCTGGCCGTGCAGCTGCCCCCCGGCGAGGAGCTCAGCGACTGGGTGGCCGTGCACGTGGTGGACTTCTTCAACCGCGTCAACCTCATCTACGGCACCATCGGTGACGAGTGCACGGAGCAGTCCTGCCCGGTCATGTCCGGCGGCCCCAAGTACGAGTACCGCTGGCAGGACGAACACCAGTTCCGCAAGCCCACGGCGCTGTCGGCCCCCCGCTACATGGACCTGCTCATGGACTGGATCGAAGTGCAGATCAACAACGAGGAGCTCTTCCCCAGCCACGTCGGTGAGTCGGGGCGGCCGGGCGGGGTCCATTCGGACAGTCGGCCCGCGTAAAGCGTGCGGTTCAGGGCGTTTAGTAGTATGTTTGCAGACTTGTGCAAACGCCACGTCTGGTTCCAGAATGTTCCACCACCCCTGAAAGAAGCCCTAGCACCCCAGCACTTCTCCCCCAGCCCCCCGCACCCACGAGCCCCCTCCCGTCTGTGGAGGATCCTGTTCTGGATGTTTCACGCACGTGGACTCACACTCCGCGTGGCCTCTCGTGTCTGGTTCCCTCCCCGAGCATCATGTGTTCAGGGTCCGTCCGTGGGGTGGTGGGGGTGGGCGCCTCGCTCCTGCTCGTGGCCGGGGGACGTGCGCGTGCGCGGTGGGTATGCTGGTGCTTAAAGTTAAGAACCCTGAGATGGGGAAGGATTCTCGATCGTCCTGCTGAGCCCTGAGCGTCGTTGTGGGCCCTTGTGAGAGGGAGGCAGAGTGCGATCGACACGAGAGACGGCACGGCAGGGAAGGGGCCGTGCGCTTCCTGAGGCAGCAAGGACACGGACCGACCCTGGAGCCTCCGGAGGGAATGGTGCCTGCAGCACCTTGACTGACGTCACCCCAGTGACAGATTCAGCGCTGTGGCTTCTGATGACGGATGCAGCAAGTAGTTAAGCCGCCAAGCTGGTGGCAATTTGTTACAGTGACACCAGGAGGCTCCCCTGGACGCAGCTTCAGCTGTCCCTGCCAGGGCTGACACCGTGTCCCCGAGCAGCTGCTGGGCAGACAGGACTCAGGCCCGGCTCTGGGCTGCCGGCGGCTCTGCTCCCGCTTCACCCCCCTCCCCCCTCCCCATGCTCCCCCCCCCGCTCCCCCCCCCCGGCCCGGGGGCCCTCGCTCACTGCGTGTGTGCTCCCTCTGTCGCTGTGGCCACCAGCAGGGACCCCGGCACGTCCCACCCGCTCCTTGGGGGGCAGCACCCTAGAGCTTGAGGCCCCGAGCCCACCGCTCACCCGCAGAAGGGGGCTCCTTACAGAAGAGGGCACCATCGAGAGGCAGAGAAGTCACTTGGCAGGTGCCACGCGGCCGTCCAGAGCCACCCTGAGGCCTCGCGTGGCGCTTGTCCTTCAGGCTCTGGGCGCCCCAGGCCCGTCCCACGCGGCCACGTTGGGTGGGGAGCCGGCCTGGCCTGGGCCACAGCCTCTAGCCCTGCCCCCTGTGGCCAGCGCCACCCCACAGCTTGCCGGCCCGGCCAGGCAGGCGGACGGAAGTGCTTGACGCGGGGAGCGGTGCCGGTGCGCCCTGCCCCTCGGCGCCGGGTCCGTGGCTGAGCAAAGGAAGACGGCGTCCACGCTTCACCCTGGCCCCGCGCTGGTTCCGCCTGTGCTTAGTGTTGGGCCAGGGGCCGCGCGCCTTCCCTCGTAGGGCCCGGCTCTCACTCCCCCGCGTCGCTGGCCCCACGCTGTGTGCCTTGCGCACTCGCGTCTGCGCTGGAGGCCCGAAGCCACCGTAGGCAGTTCATCAGCAGCTGGGTGGCCTGTGTCCCGGTGTGACTTTATTTATAAAAGCAGACGGGGCCAGCTGTGCGCCCCGCAGGAGAGTAGCCTCAGGAGCAGGCGCGGCAAAGTTCTGGAAGATTCCGTTTCAGGCCCATCCAGACCAGCCCACTTTAAACTGCCTCCTCGCCCAGGAGCGCCCTCGTGGCTCCCGCTCTAGGAGAGGCGCCGCGGTGGCAGGGCCAGCCTGGCGCCCGGGCCCCGCGGGGGGGCAGTGCCGAGGCAGGCGCCCCGGGGCCCCTTTCTCGGTTTGCTGCGGGCCTGGTGCTCCTCCTGAGCTTCTACCCTCTTTCCACTTTGGGGGGGCCCCCAGCGCGTGGGGATTGCCAGCCTTCAGGGGACTGTCCCACCACGTGGCCTCCAGGGCCCTTCACAGTTAGCATCTGCTCCTCAGGGACCCACGGACCACCGTTCGGCTCCGTGTCCAGAGGCGGGCGGTGGGGAACGCGCACACATCTCAGGGACGCTGAACAAACGCCGCACAGAGTTAGCGCCCAGGAGCCGGGGCGCCTGCTCCCCACACTCCGGCGCTTAGCGACCACTGAACACCAGCACCATTGTCCCCCTGCCCCGAGAGGCCACCTGGGCCCAGGTACAGTGGCACCCGCGTGGCACCCGCGACGCGCAGGCTCAGGCCGGACCTCACGGCCCGCTCGCCTGTGAGGGCCTTTCCTCTCCCACGCGCCCCAGCTGCAGGCTTCGGGCGTCCCCCGGCAGAGGGCAGCCCCGTGGGCTCCGCCGCCTGGGGGGCCGGCCCGCTGTCCCTGCGCTCACGGCCCTGAGAGCTTTCCTCTGCACCCGCGCCCCGCGCGCCGCCGTGTCCTCTGGGAACGTGCGCGCGGCACACCATGGCTTCCCCTCAGTGGCGGCGTCTCTGCGTCCTCTCCCCGGGCGGCTAGCGCCTCACGTCGGGGACCCACCCGCTCGTGCTGGCAGCGCCCCGCCCGTGCCGTCGGAGAGAGACGGGAACGGGTGGGGGTGGAGAGCAGCGCGCGGGGGCGCCTGACGCTCCACACCGCGTCCCAGAGGGACCGGCCCCGGGACTCCCTGGAACCGCTTTCACCACAGTTCAGAAACTCGAGGGCGCCCGGGGGCCTCAGTCATTGAGCGTCCACCTCTTGATCTCAGCTTAGGTCATGATCTCAGGGTTCACGAGTTCGAGCCCCAGCTCGGGGTCTGTGCTGACAGCGCGGAGCCTCTCTCGCCCCTTCCCTGTGAGCATGCTCTTTTTCTCACAATGAGGAAGTAAACGTTTTTTTTTAAAAACCACGAAAAACAAAGGAGCAAGGAAGTGTCGGTCAGTGACGTTCAAACGAGACGACGTGGTGAAGACGACTGGCGGGGGCGGGGCGTAGGAAGGAGGGAGCCTGGCGGGGAGTCTGCTAAGAAGCAGCAGCCTCGTGGGAAACCCAGGCGAAGCCCACGGACTGGACCTGACGTGGGGGTCGGCAGGGGAGGGGGAGGCCCCGCCCCTGAGCGTGTCGCCCCGCCCGCAGGCACGCCGTTCCCCAGGAACTTCCTGCAGGTGGTGAAGAAGATCCTGTCCCGGCTCTTCCGCGTGTTTGTGCACGTCTACATCCACCACTTCGACCGCATCGCGCAGATGGGCTCCGAGGCGCACGTCAACACCTGCTACAAGCACTTCTACTACTTCGTCAAGGAGTTCGGCCTCATCGACACCAAGGAGCTGGAGCCGCTGGTGAGCAGGGCAGGCCCCCACTGGGAGCGGCGGGCGGGGGACGCTGGGGTCCCAGACCCCCGGCGTGGCGGGCGGCCCCAGCTGTGAAGTCAGCAGAGGGGGGCGGAGGGGCGTCCTTCGGGTCTGGGCCCAAATTTGTGACTCGGTGACGCTGGAATAGAGTGGGCCGTTTGGATTCCCGCCAGGCGCAGGGGACCCGCCGCTGGGCTTGTTTTTGGCTCCTGTCGCTCCCCGTCGCCCGCTGGGAGGCTCGGGAGGCCACCCCACAAACGCCAGTGGCCTGTGACCAGGCCCTCGTCCTCACAGCCTGGCTGGAGACCAAGCAATGAATTTTTTTTTTCCTTTTTTCTTTAGTGTTTATTTCTTTTGAGAGATGGAGTGGGGGAGGGGCAGAGAGAGAGAGAGAGTCCCAAGCAAGCTCTGTGCACGGAGCCCGGTGTGGGGCTCGAGTTCACGACTGTGAGATCATGACCTGAGTTGAAATCAAGAGTTGGGCGGGCGCTCAATCAAGTGAGCCACGCAGGCACCTCGGGGTTTTGTTGTTTTAACTTTGTGTCTTGATTCCCTCGTCATTCGTCCCGTGTCGACGCTTGGAGTTCTCGCTGGGGCCCGCGGGACGTCGCAGGCTGCACCGTGCAGGAAGCGGCTGGTGCTGACCCCTCGCTGTCCCCGCACGCCGAGGCTCTCGCCGTCTCCTAGGACGTGGCAGGGGGTCTTCAGGCCTTGCTTTTTTGCATTTGTCACTCGTCTGTTGGGACAGGTTCCCAGCACTGCCATTGCCGGGTCTGAAGTTTGTATCAGGGTGTTCCTCGTCATTTCCAGGCTGCTTTCCGGAAGTTTTCTTCCAGTGGGCAAGCCACCGTAGCAGCACAAACCAGTAAAGTGGCCCTGGGCTGACCGCCTGGTTTTGTGAATAAAGTTTTATTGGCACGCAGGCACTTAGTTCTTTACACGCTGCTGCGGCCGCTCTCCCTCGACCCCACTGTGTCTCTGGCCCTGCAGAGAAATGGCTTCCCGCCCCGTTATCTGTCCCGTTGTTTGTAAGGTTTGGCATTAAATGAAGCCTGCGGGTCCCTTGAGACGGATCTGCTGCTTCTTCATTAGGGTGTGGTTTCCATCCCTCTTGTCAACCTGACATCCCGCTTGTGCTTAACAGAAAGAAATGACTGCGCGGATGTGCCACTGAGCGCCGCTCAGCCCCGCGGCCACCGAGGCAGTGCCCAGGAGACAGAGGGCCACGTCTCCGGAACATGTGCCCGTGCTTTCTAGAAAGCCCAGCAAGTGATCAAGCTCCGTGCTGTCTGGCTGCGCTGAGTGCCGGGGTCCAGTCCTCCCCAGTCCAGATGCAGCAGCCGTGGGTCTGCACACGGCCACCCTGAGCCGTCTCCTCGGCCGGCATTGAACTTGGTCTCCATGGTTGTATGTGCTGAGCACCTGGGAAAACCCACTGTGTTTGTAAACCACTGGCGTCTGCCCTGTGGGACAGCGCAGACCTGGGCCCCATGGGCAGCCAGCGCCTGGGGGCCCCGCATCTGCTTCACAGCAGGTACGACAGGGACCCCGCATCTGCCTCCCAGCCTCCCCGGGCCCTTTGAGGATCATGAACGATACGATTTTGCTTTTCCTGTGAGTGAGTCCGCCCCACCTTTAGAAAATCCCCCTCGCCCGTCTGAACAGCAGGCTGAGTCAGGGAGCTCCCGCGGCCTTGGCCAGGGCCCCAGCAGGGGCTGCACTGAGATGACCACGGGGAGCCCCATTCTGCCCCGAGCTCCCGCCTCCCTGCACCCCCTCCCCACCCGCCCACACAGCCTCCGTGGCCTCTTGCTGTGGCTGCCCTTCCAGCGTGGACCACACCGACTCTGAGTACCTCCAGGTGTCTCGGATGCTCGTGGACGTGAGGGGCGCCGTCACCCGACACCAAACAAGTGCAGTTAACGTGAGCTCTGGCTCCGGTCCTTCCAGAAGCCTCCGGGGCCCAGCTCCAGGGGGCCTGGCAAGACCGCCTCCCGGGGCCAGGAAACCGTCTGATCGAATGTAGCCCCTTCAGATGCAAGACCACAGCCAGACCCAGAACCACTGTGCGCCCCAGGCTTCCCAGCTGCTCCCGCCGCGCGGCCAGGCGGGGACGGTGACAGGGACCGTCCGCACCCTCCCGCCCACGGGTGTTCCCACCCGGGCAGCAGAATAAATTGTGCCATTTTTGTACCCGTGGCTGCCGGTGGTCCTTTCCGTTTTCCTGGCAGGAGACTGTCCTCGTCCCCAGGGGCGAGGGAGCCGGGATGTCCCGGGGGCCAGTGGCCCGCCAGAGTGCCCCAAGGAGGTAAACAGACACACAGCCTTGTGAGATTAGGGTTTCATGGGGTGGGGGTGGGTAGGATGGTCAGGATGGAAGTCTCTGGAAAGCAGCCTGAGACCCCGTGGGGAAGGCACGTGCTCTTTCCCTCGCTTCTCTCTTGTCAGTTGTCGCCAGTGCTCAGGCCCGATTTCAGCTCTGCCCCTGTGTTGTGTGCAAGGAGCTGGGAAGCGCTGAGCCCCGGGCGGGGTGACGGGCAAACGCGAGGGTTCTCGAGGCGGCTGCCAGCTCCGGGCGGACACCTGAGCCGCTCGCGCCCACCGCTCCTTCTGTGCGAGAAACGGCGTCCCTCTCAAACGCGCGTGCCGCGGGTTCGGGGCCCCCAGGCCTGGGTCTCGGCAAGCGGCGGCAGGTGAAGGGGCTGTGGGCAGGGCAGGCTTCTCGCCCCTAGAGGGCGCTGTCTCCGTGGGAACGAGCGGCGCGGCTTCTCCGGAATCTCTCCTGAAGGACTCCCTCTCCTTGCCGGTTGGCTTTGCAAATGCACCACAGCAGTTTCCAGAACGAGCTAAGAATGTGGGAGTTGTTAGCGTTTGTAATCAGCTCCAAAGACGTCCGCATCCCGGTCCCAGCACCGGGCACCTGTCGCCTCATGGCAGAGGGCGCCTTGTCAAGGTCCCTGAGGTGGGGGTGACCCTGGGGTCCTGGGGGACCAGTCCCGCCCACACCTGGGTGTAAAGACTTCCGAGCCCAGAACCAGCATGTGTGTGGGGTTTTTTTTTTTTTTTTCATGTTTTATTTATTTGAGAGACAGAGGAGAGACAGCGCAAGCAAGGGAGGGTCAGAGAGAGTGAGGGAGACACAGAATCTGAAACAGGCTCCAGGCTCTGAGCTGTCAGCACAGAGCCCGACGCGGGGCTCGAACCCACGAACCCGTGAGATCATGACCTGAGCTGAAGTCGGATGCTTAACCGACTGAGCCACCCAGGCGCCCCGGGTGTGGTTTTAAGCCGTGAAATCTGTGGTCACAGCCCCAGGGAGTCTGACGCCTGTTAGAAAGGCGTGTTTCGCACACAGAGCACCCAGGGACACCCCCCCCCCCCACCCTAAGCTGCCGGGAACGCAGGGACCAGAGGCCTGATGGGGCGGCTGGTCCACCTCAGAACCCGGGACCTGCCCGGCCGGGAGAGGTGATGGGGGACAGTGTCGATGTGGGAAACCTGGTCGGGGGTAGGAGGGGACGGCGGTGCTGCTTGGACGCGACCGCTGGCCGAGCTGCCTCCAGGCCAGCAGGGCCTCCCCCGAGGGCGGCGGGCATCTACCTCCTTCCCATGCACACGACGCAGGAGGCCGCCTCCAGTGTTCGAGAAGGAACGTTCTGGTAATTCAGGAACTGCTGGTTGAGGCCACTCAGAAGATCAGGAGCCCCGGTTACTGGAAGTCACCCCGGGGCGGGCTTTGTCTCCCAGACGCCCTCCTCCGTCAGCAGCCGTTGCCAGACGCGTCCCCAGCCCGGTGCTTCTCGGTGGTTCCTGGGGCGGAAGCAAGTCCAGGTGGGGATGGTCTGGATCCCGTCTTCGTCAAAACCGACCGCCAAGTCCTGGACTGCGATGCTGGTTCTGGGCCTGAGCACCAAGTGGAGCGGTGGCGTGGGGGCCACGGAGCGGGCCCGGCAGCGCGGACAAGCCCAGACACGCGCCGTGCACGTGCCCCATCCGTTAACTGATGCCTCCCGGTTGCTGCCGTGACTTTGGGACAGTAAACTCTCTACCCAGATCTTTATAAATGCCCCACAGTGGATACGGGCAAAACGGCAGGATTGGTGTCTGTGTCAGAGAGCACTCTGCGGGGGACAGTTTGATGAGTTGTGTAGTACCCCGAAGAAGGGGGTGCCAGTTCATACCTCCATCTACACGGGTTCGGGCCCCCCACCTCCTTATACCTCCCAACACTGGCTGTCAGGCCACGTGTCAGCACCAATTTAATCGGAAAACATTCTCATTGCATGTTGACCATTTACGTTGCCAGTTTATATCCTTTGTCCATTTGTCCATTGGGAAGTGGTCTTATTGGTTTATAAAAATTCTTTACATATTGGGCTTATAAACCTTTTTTTTTTAAATATATTTTTTTAATGTTTTATTTATTTCTAGGAGAGAGAGAGAGAGACAGCGTGAGCAGGGGAGGGTCAGAGAGAGAGGGAGTCACAGACTGAAACAGGCTCCAGGCTCCGAGCCGGCAGTCAGCCCAGAGCCCGACGCGGGGCTCAAACCCACGAACCACGAGATCATGACCTAAGCGAAAGTCGGACGCTTAACCGACTAAGCTACCCAGGCGCCCCTGGGCTTATAGACCTTCTATAAAAGCTTTTTTACATATAATTTGTCATATATGTTACACAAATTTCTCGTGGTTTCCTGTTTAGCTTTATGTTTCAACATACTTTTTTTTTCTTCTCTTTCTGAGGTTTCACATTTTTGGTCATTCTTTTCCTCGACATTTTCTACCCTTGGTGACAAGCTAACAAACTTGGGCTGGGGAAGCTTTTACATACATATTCACCTCTGTTTTCTTCTGGTTCTTTATGGTTTTCCTCTTTTTCATTTTGTAAATGTTTATTATTTGTGGTGGGGGGACAGAGAAAGGCAGAGAGAGAATCCTAAGCAGGCTCCGAGCTGCCAGTGCAGAACCTGATGCCGGGCTTGATCTCACAAACTGAACCGTGAGATCATGACCTAAGCCAAAATCAAGAGTCAGATGCTTAACTGACTGAGCTACTCAGGCTCCCCTTCTTTTTGTAAAATATTTTTTACTGTTTATTTATTTGAGAGAGGGACAGCATGGAGTTGCAGAGACAGAAGGGAGAGAGTCTCAAGCAGGCTCAGAGCTGTAAGTGTAGAGCCTGAAGCGGGGCTCAAACTCACGAACTGTGAGATCATGACCTGAGCCAAAACCAAGAGTCGGATGCTTATCCAACTGAGCCACCCAGGCGCTCTCTTCTTCTTTCCTTGAAAACTAAATAAGCTTGAGACTTTCATTTCCATGTATGGTGTGAGGTAAGGCTCCATAGGCACTTTTTTTTAGTGTTTATTTTTGAGAGACAGAGAGAATGAGCGGGGGAGGGACACAGAGAGAGGGAGACACAGAATCTGAAGCAGCCTCCAGACTCTGAGCTGTCAGCACAGAGCCCGACGCGGGGCTCGAACCCATGAACCTTGAGATCATGACCTGAGCCGAAGTCGGACGCTTAACCGACTGAGCCACCCAGGCGCCCCGGAATTTTTATTTTTTAAATAACAAGGAACCCCTATTCCAGCAAGTGTGGCCCTTCCACAGAGATCACACACGGTATGTACTTACACAGGGCTCCGTTTCTGTGTCTTCTAGCAGTTTCCCTCCTCCAGCTCCACTTGTAATGAACCCTATAAAGTTAGAGTAATTGTAATATCTGGCAATATAAATTCCTCATTATCATTTTTTTAAATATTTTCTGGACTATTCTAAGTATAGATTCCAGATGGGCTTTAGGATTCCTTTAAGTTCCAAAACTCTTCTGTGATTTTGGTGAAAATGGTAAATTTGCATAATAATGTGGGCCCAGGTTCATTCTGGAACGTAGGTCATAGGTCAGGTCGATCCCTGGGGTCCTGCGTCTCTCTCCATTTACGCCCGCCACCCACATCCCTCTGTCGTTTCCAACATTCGGTACCTCCGCACACTGCATTTTCCTTTCTTTTTTTCTTCATGTGATTTTAAAAACTGAAGGGCACCTGCGTGGCTCAGTCAGTTAAGCATCTGACTCTCGATCTCAGCTCAGGTCATGATCTCACGGTTCGTGAGTTCAAGCCCTATGTTAGGCTCCACAATGAGCATGGGGCCTGCTTAAAAAAAAAAAAAAGATATAGGTGACATACTCTAAAATTCACCATTTTATTTTATTTTTTTTTAATGTTTTTTATTTATTTCTGAGAGAGACAGCATGAGCAGGGGAGGGTCAGAGAGAGGGAGATACAGAATCGCAAACAGGCTCCAGGCTCTGAGCTGTCAGCACAGAGCTGGACGGGGGTCTTGAACCCACGAACCGTGAGATGGTGACCTGAGCCGAAGTCAGACGCTTAACCGACCGAGCCACCCAGGTGCCCCTAAAATTTGCCATTTTAAAGTACACAATTCAGTAGTTGTTAGTGCATTCACAGAGTTGTGCAGCCATCACCATCAAACTCTAGAATGTCCCATCACCCTAAAAAAACAAAAACGTGCCCCTATTACCTGTGACTCCCCAGCCCCTGGCAACCATGAATCCACTCTTGTCCGGATTCGCCTGTTCTGGACATTTCATATCTGCACGTTTCTTTTAAAGTTAATTCTCAGTTATTTTTGGCTGTTCCTATGAATGTTTTTCCATGACATCC